GGAGGAGGAGGAGGAGGAGGAGGAGGAGGAGGAAACATAAATTCGCTTCTCAAGGACACAGCCTGGGCTAGGTCCTGACTTGGGATAACATGGTTTGTCTCCAAACACCTTTTCTGGTCTCGTGCTTCGTTTTTATGACAGAGGGTGTCCACTCTGTTTGAATGCCTAAATGAAGACAGCCTTGATAATCTCTACTCAGGGCTGTGTCTGTGAGGATGGACTGAGGCAGGCTCACCGACCTCATCTTTATAGGGGCACCACCTGAGCTACATGGGAAAGTCCTTTTCACAGTCTCCCGAGAGCACCCTTCCATCACCAGTAGGTTTGCAGGGAACTGGAAGCGGGAAGGTGTGGTTACTGACACAAGGCTGCGGCCCCCATCCGCTGGTGTGTGTTCATCCTCATGATCTGATGTGGGGAGAGAGGAAGCCACATCTGACAGCCTTGTGCTCATGCTGCGTCTCCTGGGCAGTGCCCTGGTGGCCACCTGAAGTGTGCTTCAAGGTTCAGGTGTGACAACCAGCAGACCCATGGGTGTCTGAATATGTCTTTGGATTTTCTTCAGTGTTGAGTTAGATGAACTGCTAGGGAAGAGATCCCAAAGCAAAGACTAATTTAGAGCCAAATATCTTCTAACATGGACACATCAGTGGCACCATCCTTGAGTTGGTGAACAATCAAAAATGTAACCACTGCCTACTGCCCTTTTCAGCTTGGCCACTGCCTACTACACCTTTTCACTAACCTGTGTTTCTCATCAGTGGAGCGGCTGAACAGCCACAGGTAAATTATATCCAAGGAGGAGCTTTCACTAGCCCAAGGTAAGAGCTCTTGGACCTACGCATGCTAGGGCTTAAGTTTACCTTCTCCCCTTAGGACTGTAAAGTGCTATCACTGTGCCTCTGGCAAGGAAGGGGGAACCCAATGTAGAAAGAAAAGAGCAAAGAAGTCCCTGAAGACACTGGTGTACTGCACAAGCTTCTAATTGAGCGCCTCCATCAGCTTTGTCCAGAGAAGCAAACCCCTGGTACCATTGGAAACCGCAGCCCCCACCTGGACCTGCTGACCCCCAGGGTAGTCCCACCCACCTCCCCCCTCTCTCAGAGGCTTACGGTGTTCCGGAAGGAGTGGCTGCGGATGGGATCCTCAGCGGCAAGGGCAGCGCTGCTCAGCATGATGAAGACCAGGATAAGGTTGGTGAAGATGTGGTGGTTAATGAGCTTGTGGCAGCCCACACGGATGCTGTGGAGAAAAGCACTGCATGAGCGCAGTCCCAGACAAGGGCCTGAGCCTGCTAAGGTCCTCCAGAGTGTAAAGCTGCTTCTGGAGAGAGCAGGAAGAAGCTGGCCAGAGGCTAGGCTGCTCTTGTTTTCCACCCAGATAAGCAATATGGCCCACAACTTGCCCCTCAAAACCGAAGCCAGACTGACTGAGCAGTTTTGTGCTGTGAGCTCCACAGAGACCATTACATCCAGTCCTTACACAGGGGGTTACTGTCCCTCCAAAAGATGGAAGACGGGGCTGAGGATGGAGCTATGGCTCAGTTAAGAGCACTGGCTAGTCTTCCAGAGGACCCGGGGTTTATTTCTCAGAACCCACATAGCACCCACACAGGGACTCACAACCCTCTACAACTCCAGGGGATCCAGTGCCCTCTACTGGCCTCTACAGGCACTGCACACTTGTAGTACAGAGACATACACAAATGAAACACTCATTCACATGAAAACAAATAATTAAAAATGTGAGGAAGCTGAGGCTCATGGATAGGAAAGAATGTTAAGGTGACAGAGCTAGTAAGGGCCAGGGGTATATCCAAAGTCAGGCATGTCTACCCTCTTTGTAGTTCTACCACAGCATAAAGCCTGACTTCTGAAAGGAAACTGGGCCAAATTAAGTCCCTTGAGTAACTACACAACAAACTACAACCCAACCTAGTTGTAAACTAACTGTTGTGAACCAACTAAGGAAGACACTACTGTAACAAACAGCTGGGCCTCAGCCAGTCATGGGCTGCCCGCTGATTCAGGTGTGACAGCCAGCAGACCCATGGCTGTCTCAATATGTCTTTGGATCTTCCTCAGTGTTGAGTTTGATGAACTGTTAGGGAAGAGTAAGCCCCGAGTGGTGCTGTGGCTGGACAGGCTGTGTCTCCCTCAGTTCAGAGCTCTGTCCACGATGTCACGTCCATGCCGCAGCTCATGGACTGGCCTGGCTTAGTTGCTCTACTCATGAACCATTATTTGCCTCACTAAACTCTTGTCGAATTTAATTTGCCCAGTGTTTTTATTTTAACACAAACAATGGGACACATTCCCACCTTTGCCTGCAGAGCAGCTGTTTTATAGATGTGACCAGCAAAAAGTGAGAGTTGTGAAATCTCATGCTGTCTGGAAAGTTTGCCATAAATGTCCTATTTTTAGCACATTTTATTGCCTTTGTTTATTCTCTCTCTTTCTCCCCTTTCCCTCCCTTCCTCTCCTCCTCTCGTGTGTGTGTGTGTGTGTGTGTGTGTGTGTGTGTGTGTGTGTGTGTGTACGCACACAGGCCACAGTCTGCATGAGGCAGACTTTGGGGAGTAAGTACCCTCCTTTCTTATGGACCCCATATGAAAGGATCAAACTCAGGTTATCAGGCTTGGGGCAAGCACGTTTACCCACTGAGCCATATCTGTGGCCCATAAACATAGTGTTCTTAGTTTGATAGTTGATCCACAACAAGAAGTCCTTAGAGGGCAAAGCAGAAGTTGCCTTATCATTTTTTCACAATTAAGGAACTCATTGAGCCATGTGGGGTTTCTCCCTGAATCCTGGGGAGCAAGGAGGGCCATGGGTCTTTCAACCCAGATCTAAGTCCTTCACAGTGGCTCTCGGGGCCCATCAGAGTCTTTCCTGTTCCTCTGAGATGCCACGGGACTGGTCACAACATCCTCACTCTCAATACCCAGATGTAAAGAGTTTTCTTTTGTTGGCTGCTGTCATTACTTGGACTAAAGAATATGGATGGTTTTCCCTTGGGAAAAATAACTTTTCATTTTCAAAAATAAGAATCACCTTTCTGTGTGGGTGACCCCATACTACAAGTCTCTTATCTCGGGGCTGCTCACCGGTGCACACTTCCTAGAAGGCTTGCACTCTGTGGTGGCTGGGCCTGGGGAAGACCTTCCAAGACAATGAGGGCAGGGACGCTCTTGACTTCTGGGGGAATGGACCTAGTCCTTCCATACACATATACATGCAACAAACTATAGGCACCAGTCAACCACAGTGTCACCGCCTATTCTGTTCGTTCTTTCTTTCTTTCTTTCTTTCTTTCTTTCTTTCTTTCTTTCTTTCTTTCTTTCTTTCTTTCTTTCTTTCTTTC